CGCCTCCCATAAAGTACAGGGGGATTTCTGAGAAAAATTTGGGATTTCGTATGGAGGTAGATTTAGCAAATACCCTAGACGGTTACGTCGATGAAGGTAATACGATACGCCAAAAAGCAGTTACTCAAGCAACTGGACCAGAGGGGAAAGCAGGTTTATAAGCACAGCCTATTGATTGATATGCAAATAAAGTGAAAATTTGTCTTCACTTTATTTGCATATCAATCAATAGGCTGTGCTTATAAACCTGCTTTCCCCTCTGGTCTCTCAGTCACTGACGAAAGCTAGTGGATACTAGCTGAAACGTCTGACGTTTTCAAAATCATATCCAGTTGCTTGAGTAACTGCTTTTTGGCGTACTCTAGACGGTTGTTAGAAAATTCAAGCTTGTTCTAACAAGGAAAGAACTCACCATGAATTTTCGGTTGATCCCGTCAACCTTCGTGAGATGTGTGATGCAATCCCTGATCACTTTCCGGAAGTCAGAAGCGTGATGACGTCAGGAGCGCATCAAAAGTGGCACTTATCAAAAGACGAAATCTGCCATCATTACCATCACAATGCCCTAATGTTGCACCCACTTAAGTTCGGTGTGGCGATATCTTGGACATATTTGAAACAGACTTTATTCGAACCTGTGGATTTTTTTCTTAAATTTTTTGACAAAAAGTTACTAGTATTTTGACTACTGTTCCTTTATTTTAACTCTATTTAGACTGGGCTTTTTTGGGGATCCGTGGGACAGGGGCGGGTTTTTTTCGCCCCCCTTAGAAATCCTGAAAGGTATATCATATGTTCCCCCTGTCCTGTCCTTGTGGCAAAGTTGAATTAAACAAGTATGACCACCAACTTTTCAGAGAATGGTGTACCAGTAATTATTACCTCCATGAAATGTGTCATGGAGGTTATATTTACCTCCATGAAATGTGTCATGGAGGTTATATTTACCTCCATGAAATGTGTCATGGAGGTTATATTTTCAGTTGCGTTTATCTGTCCGTCTGTCCGTCTGTCCGTCCGTCTGTTGGTCAACAAGATAACTCAAGAACGCCTGGATGGATTGGTTTCATACTTGGTGTGTTGGTAGGGTGTGACGAAAACTGGAAATGATTAGATTTTAGTCCCCCTAGTAGCTTCCCTTGGTACTGCAGCGCAACTACCGGTTTTGATATCTCGCGATCTGGACATGCTAAGGTCATGAAATTTTGATGGAAGGTAGCTCTCGTGCTTGGGAAGAAGTCATAAGAGTTTGGGCCCCCTAGCGTCTTGTTCTGGAACTGCAAGGCACTTTCTGGCGAAATGTTTAAAAGCCAATAAGTCCAGACAGGAACAACCTATTTTCATTATTTTTGGTGTGTAGGTAGCTGAGAGAGAGATGTACATAATTAAATGCAAATTATGCAAATAAGGACTTAATTTGCATAATTAATGAGGAAATTCAATAATTACAGTGTTTTACATTATACTACTTACATACATGTAATGTATTTAACCTATGGCAGGCGGAAGTTCAACAGATACTAATTATGCAAATGATGACCTAATTTGCATAATTAATGCGAAAAGTCCAGACAGGAACAACACATTTCATTTTTTTTGGTGTGTAGGTAGCTGAGAGAGAGATGTACATAATTAAATGCAAATTATGCAAATGAGGACTTAATTTGCATAATTAATGAGGAAATTCTATAATTACAGTGTTTTACATTATACTACTTACATACATGTAATGTATGTAACCTTTGGCAGGTGGAACTTCAACAGATACTAATTATGCAAATGATGACCTAATTTGCATAATTAATTCGAAAATTCTATGATTTCGTAATGGTGAATGATGAGAATGTCATACTTGGGACATCTGTAAGTTAATCAAAAGTTAACATACATCACGATGCATATATCATGTTAATGCAGAGGTCATTTGCACAATTAAAGAAGAAATTTACATTTGCATATTAAGATCATATTTCATGGAGGTATGAGATCTCGGAATTCTAGTTTCAGTTGCGTTTATCTGTCCGTCTGTCTGTTGGTCAACAAGATAACTCAAGAACGCCTGGATGTAATGGTTTCATACTTGGTGTGTTGGTAGGGTGTGACGAAAACTAGAAATAATGAGATTTTGGTCCCCCTAGTGGCTTCCCTTGGTACTGCAGCGGAACTTCCGGTTTTGATGTCTCGCGATCTGGACATGCTAGGGTCATGAAATTTTGAATCATGAAATCACAAGCACTGTTTTAAAGTGGCTACATATGCGTAGGCTATGAAGAAACGGCACCCAGGAACAAAGATAAGCAAGTTTCTCTAATTCGGAAAAAAACATTCGTGAGGCGCTACCATATCTCGTTGATATTATAGAAATATCAAACATGTTACACTTGCAGTTTTACAAAGCATACACCGATATTTTTTACAAGTTACAGTCGATTAAAAACGCACACGCAAGAACAAAAGTCTATGTACACGCAAATGATTTCCCCCACAACAATCTGGGCCTAAAATGACGGTAAGTATGATATGTATGTCAGCAGTGAACTTATTACATTCTTATGTACAACTTTAGTGAGCCCACAAACTGGAAACTAAAAGTGTAAATACCTTAGACATCTTTCGCCCTAATAAAATGTAATCCAAACAAAGAAACAAAACGGCACCGATGGCGTTGTTTTCAAACGACGTGATCACGTCAGCATCCCGTCAGCCGATGCAGCAAATCCTGCGGCGGGAGATTTGAATGCGTTTTTTTTTAAATTCGAAACACGGTTTTTTTTGTACGTAAGGCCACACCGTCTTAATCTTATGGATGACATCCTCTGAAGACCCCCAAATTAGTGCGCGCGGGCGAATAAAAAAAATTCCGGCAAAAAATAAAAATGCTATTAAAGGCACTCTATGTAGTTTTTTGCGCAAAAATTTGGAATATTCTAATTATACTAAATTTCAGTGTTATTAACAGTTACTATCACTTTTCAACACATTTGTGTCATTATTTCACATTTTTTACGTATATTTTGTCCGTTCAAACAGTCCTTGTTGGGTACCCGGTGCCACCGGTTTGCTCTGAGGACAACAACAACAACAACAACATACAGGGGTTGCCCCTTAGGGTGGCTAATTGACCCGGCATGCCAGGCTTGATTGACAGGGGCACATGTGACAAGATATAGCCTCCTTAGAAAAACACTCAAATCTTTCACATGAGGTCTGGTGGAATATAATTATCAACTTGGAGTATTTTGTTGGGCATGAATAAACTGTGGTCATTATCCCGTCAAAAGAGATAAAAAATCTGGTAAACGGTTAGGTATTTCAGAAACTGGTAAGCTATCAACTGACACCCCACTGGGATGTAGGTCAAACCACTAGCAGTGGACAATACAATGTACCATATGTGCGGTTTGGCCAGAGGTTGTATAGAAGATCATTCACAGTTTTCTAAGCTTCTAAGGAGCAAGGATGTTGTATTTTTTGTTGAGGAGTATGATTTTGGAATACTAAAGGGTTAAGTCAATGTACTATGTAAAGAAAAGAATGAAAAATATACTTTTTGTATTGTCAAAAAACTACATAGAGTGCCTTTAAATCACCCGATTCGATCACTTTCCACGATAACTATCTACTATAGCCATCTACATCAGGGCATTACAACCATCCCTCAACAGAAACGGGGGGCGCCACAGACTTTCTGCAACCTATAACCCACTGCTCACGTAGTCACGTGTGTTATCTGCGTGACGTCACGGAAGCGGTGGATTGCTAATTCCTTGACAAAGACTGGAGTTGTACATTGAAAATTTGGGTGAGTCCGATTTCTTGTGTTGGATATTACAGTTTAAACTTATTTATTTATTAAGTTTTACCACGTACAATATGCACAGTGGATGGCATGGCGAAACAGGTGTTTCTGACATGAAACACCTTTTCAAAGCCGCCATACCAATAAAATGACAAAACAATACAACTTGCTTCATAAACTTATTCATTCTAAATACGGTGTGCCCTGTTATTTTATTGTTGTGTCCTACAGCATATTTTGATTGACTCGATCAAAGCTTGTAACTTCATCAGAATTTAGTTTGTCAACAAATGATATCATGTGATTATATTTGTTTCTGTAACGTCGCTAGCTCAGCAACACTCAGGCGTCTTTGTGTAATTTTTTTGAGACGCTGAGAACAGCAAACCGAGTGCTTAGCAAATACGTTATATTGAACCTTGCTATCAAAATTCACATACAAGTGTAACGTTCCTCTTTTAATTCAGAAAAAAAGTTAGGGATGTTCCTTTGACCTAGTTTGCCGTGTCTTTAACGTAATATTTGCAAATTCAAGAAAGATTAACGCTCATGCTACAACAAACTTTGGTCCTCTTTTTACCATAAGGAGAAACAAGTGTCAGTGTTTTTAGAGGTGTGATAGGCTATGGGGCAAACTTAATTCAAAGGCTGACCTAAGAATGCGTTACATATAGCAATTTCTGGATGACTTGCATGATTTGACAACTTGATTTTTGTAATTTGCTACTTTTGTTTAGTTACATTATGTTGTATTGTTTGTTGTATCTATATTTTCAATTTTATTGATTTCTGTATCTTCCGCAATTTTTTTCTTACAATCTACTTTATGTTACAACTTTTGCATGTGACTTTATTGTATTCATGTACTTGTTTCTTGGTCTAGATTAGCTTATGTAGATGTAGGCCAAGGTGTCTCTAAGGTGGAAAAAGTAAATAAACTAGAAAGGTAACATTTGCAAAGCAAATACCTACCTTTCCATGTTCTAGCTTACCAAACTACTGGTCTGTTTAATGCATTCTTATATTGTATATGGTGAACAGTCCCTCCTACTCTGCCTTGTTACCTAATGTAACCTAACACCACATGGTATCTGCCGCAGCACTAGTAACCATGGTGACAGACGTCTATTCAAAGTAATTGACTTTATTTGTTTAAGGAAAATATAAATAACCTGAGCAAAAAAATGTTTTCTTTCTGCGAACTACAAGGTAAACGTAAGAAGTGACAGCCCTGCACCTGCCAATAGGAGATAATTAAATACACAAAATTCTTTGACACTTTTCGGTAATCTTGTGTGTTATACCATTAAGTTTAAGAGAAAAACGGTTGTAGGCAATTAATCACATAATTGACGTCAAAATGACGTCATATTACGTCATAATGATTTTAAAATGGTTGATATTATTGATTATTACTAGTGCACCTCACTCTACACTCTCAACATTTAGCGGTCATACTACATACCATTCTTGAGTTTGAGTTTCCCCCCCTCCAGTCCCAAAGATAAAAAAAGCCCAGTCTAGATAGGGTTAAACCAGTACACATCTCAACACCTGACCTCATGTGGTGTAGGTTTTTATCATTTTAAAAATCTTGTTCAGCGTGTTTCAATCCAATTCTCAATGTTTAATGTGCATTTAACAAATGTTGTTTGCTGTCTATTAATGTGGTCTTCTTTCACAGGTGGCAGGTCACTTTTAATAATGCAGGAATGTGCTTAAAAAAATGGGCCAGGAAAAGGTGATTGTTATAGTCAGATGGCTGGCTAAAAGTGGCAGGTTTGAATGACAATAATTGCTCTTTTAGCTTTAAATAAACAGACTTTGCTCTTCATGCAACAACTCAGAAATGCCTACTGTCTAATTAACTATGCTATTTGTTATAAGTTCAGAAAAAGGCATATTCTTAACCCTGTTGTACTCCTCCAACAATACGTTTGTAGTTGGTCGTTGACTGGGGTCCCTATTTTGACACTGATGGTGCACTTTGAACAAGTGTAATCTGACAACATCACTTCCATTTACATTTCCCAGTAAGTGGTCAAAAACACCTGGAATTTTCCAAATGTCAGATTTTTCATCATAAGGAGGCATTCTTGAGTAATCATATGTTTCATTTTCAAAGGGCCAAAGCTCCTCAGGGGCAACAAAGTCTGACCAAGTTCTACCTCGTCTACACTTAATGAAATGATGTGCTTCATGATTCACTTCTGGTATCCAATCCAGGTCACCTAAGACAAGTTTGAAATCCTGTGTGATAAGAAACTGGGATAGAGTTTTATGGACATTGTTTGAGTCGCACATGACTCGTGTGCCAACTGGACTATTGTGTAGGAAATGTATACATTCTAGGTAACTCAGAGCCATGTTAAATCTTGTCCGGACATTGTTAAACTTGCTGTATGCGTTCGACTTTAGGATATTCTCAATAAAGTCTGCAGATCCTAATTGATAAAACTCTGTAAGGAGCGTTGTGTTGCATGATCCCACATACTGCAAAACAGAAGGGTGTTGCAGGGTCTTCAGCATCTCTATATTTCGCGAGAAGAACTTGAGATAAGCCGGTTTCGTCAGGTTACTGTAGGCCACTGTGCGGTTTCTCCAGATAGCTTTGTAAACCTACAAAGTGCAGAAAGGATGTATATTGTAGTTCTGTACAGCATATAGTAAAATGTACATCAATTCATGTCTTTATGGTGTAGTAACCTGCACGCTCTGCATACTTAGAGCCGGTGGCCTAGGTTGCACCCGATTTGGACACGATTAGACGTCCTTTATATTTTGGATGTCGACGTACATATAACGCTTGTACAGTGTACAAGGAAGATTATCACATCAAACCTCTATACATAAAAGGACCCAACACACTTTATTAAGAAGATTTAGAGTAGAGGTACACGACAACATACTTGAGCTGTAGTAAAGATTATAAACAAATCCCCATTGCACTACTTATGCAATGTTTCGTCCTCAGTCTGACGTTGCCCACCTTTGTAATCTGTTATATTACCTTTTAAATCTAAGATACCAGCTGTTTCCCCGTTGACAAACCTACATAACTTTATGTTTCCTGATATACTGATCTACAAATGAGAAGTATGTTACATGTATGACTAATCAGATATGCATGTTGCTGACTTGCTTGTACCAGTATTCAGTGCACATATGAAAATTGTTCAAGATCTGATGGAAATGGGAAAACACAAATCATTGATGGTTTCCTGAATCGGACACCTCACACAGTATTATAATCTAAAAAAAAGGGGAAAAAAGTTGTAATCTGGAAATCACCTGTAACATATAATATGATTGTTTATGCTAGCTGCGCCTATACTACTTGAATTAGCTATCCGACAGAAATTTTACGTCTACACTCGCCTACAACAGGGTATAACATTAAAATAATAGGTGCATAATCAATTAGAAATATAACAATGCTGTTACCTTCTTATGACCACCTCTTCCGATTCTGCGCTGAGTGGTCACCTCATTCGTTATCTCTTTACAACCAAGCCATGGCATACAAGTTTCCATCGTGGACAGTCGAAAACTTCCCGGCGGGCACAGCCTCCTCTGTCCAGGCTGGCCCACTCCCAACTCTGCCACAGTCACAACATCCGGATTGGACCTGGACTCTTGGACTTTTCCTTGTCTTTCTTGACGCAACATTTCATCGACCTCGTAGTTGAGGAAGCCACTAGCAGGCTGCAGAGAGCCTGACCGGAACCACGGCAGTAGGCAGAGAAGCAGCAGAATAAGGAGAATGAGACAGACCACTTGTGGCTTACATGCACGACCCATCGTTACGGAATCTGCTACTGTAACTCTGACCTGTAATAGGTTTGCAGTACCATTAGCACTTAATCTATAATATTATACAATAAAATGACATCGCTCTTGACCCAAGAATGACATGGAGAGTGGTAACAGTAGGGTAGCCTGGGTACTATCCTGGTTATTTTACGTCCTTTTCCACAGTCACTCCTCACTGTGGGAACTGACGTAAATTATAACCAGGACGGCACCCAGGCTAACAGTAGTATTGTAGTTGAAAAAATATCTACATTATAGTTACATACCAGGACATGAACAGTTTCTGCAGTGCTATTGGTTAGATTCTGTCCCACTGAAGACACTTAAGCAATCTCAAGGTTTTAAACAATCTGGAGATTTTTTAAGTCATCTTATAATTGATGTTTAAGCTTTGTGTAATATCAAGATTTTCCGAAAGGTTTTTCCGAGAGGATAATTAAGAAAATGGTTGACGGATCGTCGTGACTTTTGGTGTGTATGTAGCTAAAGTGATGCTTGGCATAACTAAATTACAATTATGCAAATCAGGATCTAATCTGCATGATAAATGAGGAAATTCTATCAATCCATTGTTTTTAATATAAAGCTATGAAACACGACACGATTGAGAACGAAAGGGACACAGATATTGATTATGTAAATGAATACCTCATTACATAAGTAATGCGAAATTGCCACAATTCTATAGGGGCAACTCCTGGGAATTCAATACTTACCATAATTGGAAGTTCAGTGAAGGTTAACATCAGTAAACATGATTTATTCAAGTCAGGGCCTTATTTGTATAATCTGAATTTTACTTATGCGCAGGATTGTAAATGTAAGTTATTGACAGGTGGCCATCAACATGCATAAGCATGTCATGCACTAAACGTCATGGAGGTATGAGATCGCCGAACTCTAGTTGCTATGTAAGTTCTGTTTTAGCCAGTTGACAAGCTTTCTTTTACTTTTTATGAAGCTTGTCAATGATAGATTAACCCCATTCCCATTAATTTGTATTCATTTTCCACTTTCTTCTGTCCTTTTTTTTGCATCAATAGTTTGTTAATCCTACGAGTAGACTTCTCCACACTTGTTGCACAGTGAAACCTTGTATGTGGTGAATAAACTGTTAACATTATATCTGGCAAGAATCTATGGCAATCCCGCGATATCTTTATTTGCAATCAGATACAGATTCAGGTACAGATACATATTCATGCACAGATACAGATTCATGTACAGATATACAGATACAGATTTTTCCGAGTAGGATGACCGTGTCAGTCCCTACAGCTGAGTGAGGGTCACAGTTGACACGGTGGCCTTCGCGTGGATTTGTTTAAGGTGGATAACAGGTTGCGAATCTGAGACCCACACACTTGGGCACCCGTCTTCCCCAGCGGATCCATATCGAGGGAGACGTGCTGGTTCCGGTTAGGATGCCTGCAGCGAGCTGCCGGATGACTTGGTTACGCTCAAGGTCCGCCTTGACTACGCCAGCCCGCCTGGCGCTGCTCTCGTCCGCCAACTGAGGACAACTGCCGCTGGAGACTTGACCCTCTAATTGAGGGGGGATAAGTGTAAAGTGCCTTTCCCAAGGGCACAACGTCGGTTCGGACATGCCCCTGTGCTCCGACTCGGAATCGAACCCGGGGCTCCTTGCTTGGGCGTCGAACGATCTGTCCACTACGCCACACGACGCCACAAGACTGTTAACATTATATCTGGCAAGAATATAACTTCTAAATGATCCTGGTATTGTTTATGTATATCAATAGACTACACTGTTACCTGGCAACCAAGCTGTAGCATCTCCGCATTTTTTTTTGAATTACAGCAGGATTTCTTAATAACTTATGAACCAATCGCTACATGTATATCATGTAATGTACATGTCCATGCACCAGCAGGCAAAAGCCACGGTCCCTCAATGTCATGAAAAAAACACTTATTCATCAGACGTTATATGCAAATTTCTATATTCTAAGTGGAATACTTTTTTGGCGTAGCAATTCCATTCAGGGTAATGTTCCAGCAGTAAATGCTGGTTTTTATCTGAGAAACTACATGGGAAGAGAACTGATAGAGCAGCAAGTTGGAGAAGACCAGGAATGTGGCGTGAGATTGAGTGAGTTTACTCTGGGAACCAGACTCGTGAGGCTGGGGGCAGTGAGTACGCATGTGGAGGGCAAGTGATAGCCCATTCCGCCCCTCCCCACTATCAGATGTGCCTCTAAACTGTGCTGTGCAACAACATACACAGACCCCATACACAATGTAGGTCTCTCGCCACGAGAACGCTTTGCCCAGGTTGGCAAAGGACCCCAAGCATGTCCTGTCGTACTTTCTAATGATGTGTACAAAGCAGAGTGTACTGGTGGTGTTAGGAAAAGGAGAGACTCCCACCACTTGAAAGATTATTTGATACAAAAAAATATGTGTCCAACAAGCTGAACCCATCATGTTAGCCTGGGTACTAGTATCACATAATGGGCAAGCGTTAACATTTATTACACTCCATTGAAATTTTGTGTTATTTTTGTAGGCCAGGTGACATAACAGCAAAGAGCAACTACCAAAGGCAGAATAAGGCTGTGAAGGTTGCAGTAAAAATCATAAACACCAGCTCATGGAAAATAAAGTGCAGTCCCTTAGGACTATGTTAACAATAACTCCCACAACCTATTCAAAACTGTGCTAGAACTCGAATACATCAATTCAGCAAAACAATTGAGCTGGTAGCATGCATACTGATAATTTCTAAAAATTAGCAAATAACAGTTTTGGGGTTTCGCGAGGACCCCAGGTGTACAGATTAATCAGTCCGGGAAGGTGTACTGTTGAGGGTTAAGCAAGAGTCAAAATTAACTTACAAACTGTAATTTAACCCTATCTAGACCGGGGGGGGGGGCTAAAAGTGCCCGCGCCAACTTTGATGTCACATAGCATCTGAACGGGTAGGGCTAGAACGACCGAACTTGGTGACTTTTCCTAAAATATTGTTGGCAACAATTTTCTAACATTGGAATAAGATAATGATTTTTTGTGTTGCTATGGCAACGGGTTTCTGACAGGCATTTTTTGCTAAATTTAGTAATTTTTGTTTCAAGAATAGAATTTTATGGGTTTTATGTCGTTACTCATGGTTTCTAATATTAATAACATCCCATGTAATTTTATGTAAATTTTATCATTAAATATGCAGAATTTATGCTAATTTGATGACGTCATTGGCCAAAATCCAAGATGGCGGACCACACCATTAGAACAGGTATATACAGGTTATTTTCCTTAAAATTTCATCAATACTTCCATTTCTTTTTCCAAAAAAGGTTTAAATGAAGGTCTTTAGTATGTTTACAATGTATTTTAGGCTTTATCACGAAACAAAAACTATTTTTGAAAATTCAACATTGATGACCCAAGATGGCGGATATCTTAAATATGTATGACGTCATTTTATGACGTCACCGGTGTTGCTATGGGCAACATAAGACTTAGTACACCCTAATATTCTGTCATAAACACTTTTGGTAAAGTTATGCTGTATACCATTTAGTTTTCAGGGAATAGCCTATCTAGACGGTTTTGGCCAATAAAATCACATTAATGACGTCATAATGACGTCATATTACGTCATAATGACAAAAAAATTGTAGATATGATAAATTTGTACTAGTACACCATCCTCTGAAAATTTGGTAGTCATACGACATACCGTTAGCGAGTTCTGAGGGGGTGGTCAAAAGAGCCCCCCCCCCGTCAAATCTTGCTCAAAAAAGCCCGGTCTAGATAGGGTTAAAAGCGCTAAATATGAATCATCCTCCCATGGCAGGGGCAGCGGCTCCGAATTCCTTCTCCACTCCGGGGTAAGGGGTGGAAAAGGAACTCGGAGCCGCTGACCCTGCCATGGGAGGATGATTTGAATTGGATGCCGGTATTAGTTCGTACACGATTGCCTGTATATAACTGTGCCATACTGCCATTGCTAGAAAATAAATCAAAATACTGCGATACCCGTCTGACAATGGATAGTATGCCTTTGTTGGTATATAACGTTATACAAAGGTACGGAAGACATTAATACCTAAAATACCACGACAAATGAAATACTGGACTTACAAGAGGTATCAGCGTTGATGAAACCTTGAAGAAGTTCGTGTGGCCGAATCTTGGGTGATTTTGTGCAGAGTGTAAGTTTTTACCCGCACCTTTATGAGTGGCCTTCGAGAAATGTCGACGTGTAACTGCGGCTGATCCACATCAAAACTCTGTTTGTTGTTTTTGCCGTGGTATATTTAAGTCCCGAAATTGTCGTGATCAAACTTAACGGACTTTCTGGAGTGTGTTATTGATTTAAAGTGGTGCAATAAGACCTGGTAAAAAAGGTAAAAAAATGCTTGATGCCTAATTTTAAGACGTGGGAAAATCGAACCGGTATGTTTTATGCATTACTCCAGCAGGCCATTAACGTGGCACCGATAGAAAATCCTATTATTTTTTGGCATGGCAAAATTAAATATATTTAATTATTCTATACAAATAAACCTAACTTGGAGGGAAAATAGACCTAGTACAAATCCAAAATGATTCATTTTCGGCAGAATTCTGCTTATATTACATAATAAGTCCATAATAGTATTTCTAATATTGCCCTAATGCTGTATGCTGTAAACAGGAACCCTACGCGGGCGCGGTTGAACATAAAACAGAGAAAACAAATAAGTGACGACTATCACCCGGATCCACTGATAACCTGATAACCTGAGACATGTCCGGGCGGTGGTAGAAAATTCTCAGAGAGTGTCACTCGGGAACCAGATTCAAATGTGAAGAACTGTATCAATTTGTTGAGTTTATTTATTTTTTACATTACATAAATGGAGTTGCAAATGTTTGTTAGTGTATAAGTTGAAAGATTGTTACGACATTTACGACAGTTACAACAGGAAATAACG